GGATGGAGAAGAGAGTAGTGAATGTGATATACCTTGACTATAGCAAGGCTTTTGACAGTTTCCCATGACATTCTCATTAGTATGCTAAAGAAATACAGGCTAGATGAAAGTACCATCAGATGAATACATAACTACTTGGATCATCATGCTCCAAGAGTAGTGATCAATGGGTCAATGTCTAATTGCAAGTATCAGACCCTCTTGAGGGAATCCGTCTTGGGTCCAATACTATTTACTATCTTCATTAATGATTTTGAGGATGAGACAGAGTTTACAGTTAGCAAAATTGCAGATGACATCAAGTTGTGGGGAGTTGTAGACATTCTGAAGGATAGGATTAAGTCAAAGTGACCTCGATATATTGGTGAACTGATCTGAACTTAATCAAATAAAAATCAGTAAGAACAAGTGCAGAGTGCTATGCTTAGGAGAAAACAATGAATACAGAGTAGGGAATAGCTGGTTAGGCTGCAGTACTGCAGAAAAGAATCAGCAGGTTATAGTAGACCCTAGATGAATACAAGCCAGCAAAGTGCTCTTGCTGGAAAAAAGAGCCAATGGTATACTGGGTTGCATTAATAGGAGTATGTCACCTCCGAGTCTAGGGACATGATTCTTTCACTGTAATTCACTCTAATTCCACTCTATTTCACTCTAATTCCAGATGAAGCATACCAATGCTTCATCTGGATTAGGGAGTCCAATTCTGAGCAGAACACTCCAAGAAAGATATAGACACATTGGAAAGAGTGAAGTGGGAAGCAGCAAAAGTCATTAGAAATTTGGCTAATGAGAAAAGTTAGAAATTTGAATTATTTAGTCTGGACACCAGAAGACTGAGGGGAGATCTGCTAACAGCTTTTAAGTAACTGACAGGTGGTTATACAGAAAATGGTGACAGAATTTTCTCTCAAGCTGTAGGGGACAGGGCAAAGAGTAATGCTCTTAATCTGAAAAAATGGAAATTTAGGCTGGATGCTAGCACGAACTTTATCATGATGAGGGTGATTAAGCATTGGAACATATTACCTAGAAAGACTATGGAATCTCCATTAGAAATTATTAAGAACATATTAGACCAGGGGTTTTCAACTTTTATTCAGGAGTGTAACCCTTTTGGGTACACTTCTGATGGAGTGGGAGGGAGGGGCCTTGCACACAGTGGCATGGGGTGGTGGATGGCTTCTCTTCCTATGCACCTCCCAACCTCCAGCTAGCTGGGCACCCACACAGGGAAGCTGCTGCCCTCATCCCCCACTCCCTGGCCCTGCTCCTGGGAGGCAGTGGTGTGGGATGGTGGGTGGCAGCAGTCCGTCCCCGCATGCACGTACCCCCTAACCCCTTCCCGCAGACCCCTGGTTGACAACCCCTATATTAGGCAAACACTTCTGTGGATTGGTTTCAGACAGGTATGATTCTAATCTTGAGCACTGGATTTGACTAAGTGACCTCCTAAGGTCACTTCTAACTCTGCTTTTCTATGGTTCTAAAAACTACATTTAACAAGACAAGTCAGAATTTTTTTTTCCCTTTGGAGTAGATTTTCATATGTCTATCTTCAGAAGAAGCCCTAAAGGGCTGGGGCTGAGAGGTATTGGACACAGTGATACTAGTGAATGGCAACCACTATGCTCTGACTAAAATTACTAAAACTCCAGATTTAGGACAAATCTTCCTTGCCTCAATACTCAAAGTAGCAATACTTGGCACCATAGTGATCTATAAGCTAACAATGTGTGTACTTTCGCTGATTAATCACCTAGGTCAGATTTTAAAAACAATCATCATACCATACTTACCACTTTTCAAGCTTGCAACACCCAGAGACTGAGCAGAATGAAGTGTCAACCGAATTCCATCATCCTGGATATAAGCCATTGTTGTCATTGGATAGACATTTGCTTGAAGAGGCAATTTGCTCATTGTAAGTCTGGGCTGAATCTATAACATCAGAATTAACTTCAGTAAATTCTACCGAGATTTAAAATGATCAAAACAAACAAATTTCAAGCATTTATCTTATATGCTCTACAACAGCATTTCTCAGCTCATGGGTCACCACCCAGAAGTGGGTCACACGAATGTATAAAAGGGTTGCAAACAAAAATGAATCAACAAACTTTAAAAATGGATTGTCCTTTAAAAGAGAAAAATGTGGGAAACTGGCTTTTCCCTTATAGGCTGGCAGAGTTCCAGCCTCTGAGAGGCTCCTTAGGGGCCCCCATACCCCACCCCCTGCCCATCTCAGATACCCACTCCCTGCCCCAACACCCTGGGGGGTTGGGGGCAGGGGGCAGCAGGTTGGGAGTGAGGGGCACTGGGTTGGGACTGGCCATTGATGTTAACAAACGTGTCCCAATACCAAAAAAGGTTAAGAACCACTGTTCTACAAACAATGACTGACAACAGAGACCAAAGCTGCCACTCCATTGTATTATACCGCTTGTTAGAGATTTGTGGCCAGCATCACCATTTTAGAAGTGGCATAAGAGATTAACTCTAGTTCAAAGAACACTTTTGAAAACTGAAGTATTCATCAAGAGAATCCACACAAAGAACTGATATGGCTTGCAGAATAAGAAGCGGTATTTGAGAGAGTGAATTTTCTTCCTTTACAGAGCAGATGATATGCAAGTTCAATGTAGTACAAGAGGCATTCCTAGGATTTATAGAGGAAACTAATTAAAAAGTCCAATTACATTCTTGAAATGTACATGAATACATTTATAATAGTAGTAAATATTCTTCCCATTTCTTGTTCATTTTATCATCTTTAGGAAACTGCAGTACGACTTTGAACATACCTATACATGGGGATATAGAAATATCTTATTCAATAGATTTGTTTTTCAGTGTACTCAGAATAATATTTGATGACAGTAGGGGGGGAAGTTTTTATTTTTGCCCATACTGCGGGGACAACACAACTAAGGAAAATGAGCTTCATTTTTATTTCATCATACGCATCATTAGTTATATAGCTTACTAGAGGTCCAGCGATCTTCAAACTTTTTGGGCATGAGATCACTTTTTGAATTAAAAAGCAACCCAAGATCTACCCTATACCACCACCCCTCCCCACCTAAAGGTCAGTCTGTGGGCAGAGAAGGGTGGGGGGGCACATTGAGAAAAAAATTATTTGGGGGCTCACCCCACCAGCAGGTAAGTCTATGGGAGAAGGGGCAGGGGGCGGGGTGGGGCAGATTGAGGCCCCAGCAGTGAGGGAGGGATTGGGGCACAGGCAGGAACAGGGGCCAGGGGGAGTGGGTCTGGCCAGGCTGGGACAAGCAGAGGCCAGGAGGCACATGCCTCTCAGGCCTCTGCTTGTCCCCCACTCTCCCCAGCCCCTACTCCTACCTGTGCCCTGCTCCCTCTCTCACTGCTGGGTCCTCAATCTGCTTGGTACTGAGCAAATGCAGAACAAGATAAAGTCCCTTCCCCAAAGCGCTTACAATCTAAATAAATAGGACTGAAAGGGAGAGGAATATTACATACAAGTAGAGCATATGATAGTTTATTGATATCATGTTAGTTTATGTCAAGCTATTCTTTGATTCCAAGAATTACATTCAATATACTTCATGCCATCCTTGCATCATAACAAGATCCTGAAACAAACATGTGTGAAATGTGAGCTTCTATTCTTTAGCCATCATCATCTACACCTTTTACAGAAAATGGCATGTCTTTTGCTAGAGATGATGCCATTCTGATAACATGCAAAGGGGAACTGGGAGTTTTCTGATGCTGCAGAATTCCATGGCATCTTGATGGAGTAGGTATTAAAATATAATCCCTTAGAAATTATTCAGATCTTAAACTTGCTTTTAAATAGAGTAAAAATATGTGCGACTGAACATTTCTCAAGAAACATTTGTAATGTGCTAACTTCCCTCTACGTGCAACATGTACCTTAGTGCTTTATTTAGCTTGTCATATTTCTAAAGCAAAAACTTTTCTATATTTTATAGAACAAAGAACACTAATGGCATTTAACAAATTATAATGGATGAAAAATTAAAAAAATGTTTTTTTTAAAGAAATCTTTTTCTTCCCAATAAATTAGTTATTAGCTACCACATACACAGAATGCATCTCTTTGAAGAAATCTAAAGCACAGCACAGAAAAGAAAAATCAAAAAGACAAAAAAGTCTGAATATAAAGTACATTTTAACAGTAGTACAGTACCAGTATAACAAAAGAACAATGTTTTATATATGTGAGACAATGGCCTGTCCTAATACATATAGAATAATATATAAGTAATGTTGTTGAGTCATGGGAGAAAAAAACCCACAAACAAGTAATCTCATGATTTCCATATCTCTAAGCAACACCAGGAAACAAGAGTATATATTTAAACAAATCCCTACTTTCAAAATAAGTTAGCGTATTGTAATACTAAACAATTAATTGTTTGATTAAAGAGGACTAAAACAACCAAATAAAAATCAGCATTACAAAATAATATACTAAGTTGTTATATCTATTACACTCAAAATTGGCAGAGTAATTACCTGATATCCATTAAGGTCAGTGTAAAACCTATTTTGACTGTTTATGTCAGATGAAATTCTCATCGCAATCTCACGATTGTACTCTCCTCTAATGTCCACAATATTGGAAACCTCAAGGGACTGGCCTTCTAACCCTGCATGAAAAAAGTACATTTAAAATTTTCAATTATTTAAAAAAGATTTTACAGAACACAGCTTACAAAACAGTGATCAAAATCCCTCCAGCACTTTTCTATCCCTGTTAACATCTATCCAAACACACAAAGATAGGCTTTGGAACCAGTGCAGATGTCAGTATTACAAAAACAGTAGGCAGACAAGGTTCTTTGGGTAGACATGATATCTTTTATTAGACTAAATAGTTGGGAAATGGCTCTCTGCAAGCTTTCGAGCACAAACATCCTCCTTCAGGCATAGAGAGAGTCTGTTGGTGTTTTGGGTGCTCTCCTGGGTAGAATAGAAAACAATATGCAAAATGCAGGTCTGTGAAAATGTAAATGCATGGCAGTGAGGATCAAAGGGAATAGAAGACTATAGCTGTGAGACAAGTAGGTGTGTGTGTGGCCAGGGGGAGCTTGCAAAGAACCATTTTTCCAACTACAATAAAAGCTCTGTTATCTGGCATCCCCCGGGAACGGGAGATGCCGGATTACAAAAAAATGCCAGTTAATTGAGTGGCCCCGGATACCGCTTCTCACACAGTGTCTAGGGTGTCCCTCCGCTGCTCCCATAGCATCGCCCCTCTATGGACAGGGAGCTGGGTCCCATACAGCCTGCACGGCCTGTTATGTCCCTGGACTGTGGGGGCTTGGCAGTGCAGGCTGCTTTGCCCTGAGCCATGGGGGCTCAGAGAAACCCGAACTTTTACTGTATTAAGTTGGTCTAATCAAAGATATCACATCTACCCAAAGAACCTTGTCTGCCTATGTCCTTACACCAACACGGCTACAACCAACAACCCTAACATAAAGGGTAGTATGCATAAAAACTGAACTGTTCCAAAATGTCACTGACTGGGAATCATTTCACAGTTGTGTGAAATGCTTTGGCTCAGATACCAGGGGGCAGGAGTGACCATCCCTCTTTGCAGAATGTAACACCACTTGGTGGTTTAGCGTTTGTCAGATAAACATGTAGAAATCCATTATACCAAGGATTTATATTCTATACTGAAGTTAAAGTTAGTGCACTTGAAAACTTTTTTTTTTTTGTTTGTTTGTTTTTTTTTTTTTAAACACAGCAGTTTTTTTTAACAAGTCAAACATTTAAAAGTTAGAATATTCCAGTGTTAAGGTTTTCTGTGCAACCTTAATTTGGCTCTGTCATGGTCTTTGATTATGTAGTCATACACTGTTTTTTTCACAGAAACCCTTCTTCACTCAGTACACAAGCTACATGATGCTGCCCTGCAACAAATATAGAATACATATAGTAAAACTCGTGTCTCATTTGTTGCAGAAGTTAGAAGACAATTGCTCAAGGCATTTTATTGCTAAGCCAGAGAACTGGATTCTATCACTGACACAGAATGCCTATTGGGTTTTAGTAAACTAAAACTTTCAGACAATCATTTGTGTTCCTTGTATTCTAGGTACATGAATTATGTCACTTAAGGCTACATCTGAGGTGCTGAATGCTTGCGATTACTACTGGAGTTGACTGAAACTGTACTTTGAATATATAAAATGCTATAAAAATACTAATAAGTACTCTGAAAAATCAAGTTTACAGATCTTAATGTCAGCACCCAAAATTAAAGGATACTTTTGAAAGTTTGACCTGTCGATACCTATTCCACAGTGGTAACATGTTGAAATTAATAACACCTCCATTTATAAAGATATATATGAAGCAGTACTATACTACAGTTAAAGTATTGCAGGAAAACATATTAGAAAAGCCACTGGCAAATTCTCTCTTTTTCCTCTAGTGGCTAGTCCACATAAGGAAAACAATTGCCAGCTGCATTCTTTAGCTCAAATAGGAGTCTACAATATGGTCCTGAAGGGTTCAATGTGATGGGGGGGGTTTTTAAACCTAGGAAATAAGCTAGAAAATAATCTACAATCCCCTAGCAGGCACACAAACAAACTCATGTATTCCAAAAATACATTAAGATTGCAAAGTTGTATTTAGCTCCAATATTGGGTAATGTGTATTATATAAGGTCTGGGTCATATATGAATGACAAGCAATAGAAAGCAAACTGAATGGCTATTCTATAAGTGCTGCCCATCCTATTATTGTATAATTGAAGACTGTATTGCACTGCATATACTTAAAGTTAAGTTAGCCCAAGCAACTTCACTTCTAGCACTTCTTAACTTTGAAGTGCTTGACTTTCAATATCTGGAGGATGAAACTAAACAAATTCACTAATTAAGGCACAGATTTTAACACCAAGGTTAATAAAATATCAAGAGTAATTTATCTAGGGATGTATTAGATTCTCACCTAAAATCTTTAGATCAAGATTAGGCACTTTATCAAAACATGTTCTACAGCACAAAGATAAGTTATCTGGGTTCTGTACAAACGTTACTGAGAAAATGTATATTTGCAGTTACATCTGCACTTAGTCTTTTTTTTCTAAATGTGATCATATTTGCTTGCTTCATCTTCCTTACCAGCCTTGTCTTCTGAATTTTTTATTATTTTGTATTGCTCTTGCATATCTGTTGCATTTTCATAAGAAAGTGTCCACAGCTGAATTTTATATAACTATTATTGTTGACTACTATGATTTATATAACTACTACTGTTGACTAAACAGGAAGGTGAACCTAGTTCCAACCATCTGCAGGCTGTGGAGAGCAGAGCTGCTTAGGAAGTTTCTTCAATAGAAAATGGCCATTTGTCAAAACTTATAATTGCTTGAGTGTTTTGAATTGCTCCGAAAAGGCTTTTTTGCAGGTTTTGTGCCAATTTTTTTTTATACTCCCTTTTGCTGTTTACAAATTAACTTATAAACTGGTAAAAATATACTTTTTTAAGAAGTTCGTACACCAGCGTAGAACCTTGTAACACTCATTCTACTAGCAGAGAACAGGTGTCCAGTTACTACGCCCATCATACCAACTTCACACTCTCATAAGAGGTGGTGATTATGCCCAGGGATAGATCCAAAGCAGGTGCAGTGGTATGATGGCACCCTGCTTTGAGACCAAATCATAATGCAGGAGCTTCTGGAGACTTCTTAAAAGTCCCCAAAGTAGGATGAGAATCTTCCCTGCTTTCTCCTCCATGGCATGTCTCTTCCGTTCTCTATCTCCCCCTCCCCTGCCTGCCACTGCTGCCTTCCTGGTCAAGGGAAGCTCCAGAGCTGTTCCTGCCTACTTGCAGGGGCAGAGCTGAGCTGAGACAATGACAGCGGCTGCAGTGATGGAGTGGAGGGGTTCCCTCTCCCCATGATGCCTCCCAGGGAACTGGGGAGGATGGGGAAAAGTAGGGCGATGCTTACCTGCCTTGGTTGGGAGGAGGGGAGGAAGAAGACCGGGAGTGGGAGTGCAGCCAACTCTGCACTGCATATTGCTACCCCTGTACACTCCCCTTTGCTAAATCCTGAACCTGACCTTAATTAGGCCACTTTGCTGCTGGCTCAGCACCTTCAGGAACTGAAACCACTGTGCCTCATTAAGAAATTGCATCTGGTGCCCCTAGATGTCTTGAGGTCTCCACTTCTGCTGCCCATAAGCCAGGCAGGAAGACCATGCCAAGAATGTTTGTGCTGTTTGACATGCAGTAATAGTATGGAATGGATATTTACCACTTTGAGCTCCTCCTGTCACTAAACACTCACTGCTGTCAGGTTCTGACAATGTACACATTATTACGATGCAAAATCTTCAATATTCTTATAAGTATCACCAGACTGCCCAGTGGTGTGACTTTTTTTTCTGGTCTATCAGGCAAAAGAGACCATGGAGTGGAACCATGTAGCATGCTCTTCACAGGTTACTGTGAGCTGCTGGAAGAAAAGGAGATGTGCAAAGGCAACAAAGGACAGCTAGCTTTGGGACCATCTTTAGATTATCTACTGCCAGTTCTGAGTATAGGAAAAGTGCACAGGTTGAAAGGAAGGGTCAGTTCTGTAAAATGTGAGATGATCGGCAGCAAGACAAGAATTTTAGGGTGACAGAAATCTGCACAGAGTGGACCCCAGTCTAGGTAGCAGACCATGATTTAAGAAGTCTCACAGAAAACAGAAAAATGGAAGTTAGAGCAATTTGGAAAATGGCAGACCCCCAAATTGTTTAGGCCAGTTTGGTGCAGGTAAATCTATTCTGCATCTTCTGTACTGAAAGTATGCATTACCATCAAGAAGGTGGACACCTTCTTGTTTTCTTAGGTTCACCAATCTCCACAATGTCATTGATGGATTGCCCAATTATATCCTCTGACATTCCCATCTCATAAATCCTGAAGTGTTAGGCTTTTCTAAAGCTGAAGATTGCAGTGCAGTAACACTTGACAAGTACACAGCTAGCAGAAGATGTGGGTAGTCAGCACAAACTAGCAAAGTTTTGTCTCTATACCTTATTTTTAAAAGGTGAGGCCACATGTGGTCCCTGACCCCAAACAGTCAAGGCTAAAATTGCTGCCTCACTGGATGCCATAAAGCATAAATGATTCTGTTGAATACACCAACTGCTGGGCAAAACTTGTATCAATATAGTCTTTAAAAAAACAACCCCATAGCTGGACAGCGTTATACTGAGTTATATGCCGATGGTTCATAGCTTTTTAAAAACAGTGTTTTTTGTCTCGATCTTTAAATTACACTACAATTTATCCCAAGTAATTTAGTCTGTAAAGTCAAAACATCCTAAGTCAAGAAACAACATATCTTTGCCACTTGTGAAAACCGTAATTCTCTCTTTCTTCATCCAACCTATTCATTATCTGAGGGAATAATTCTATGAAAAAAATGCAAGTGATCATGCAATTAAAGAATGTATCCTAATAGTTGCATAAGCACACACCCTATATATAAGTCTGTCATGTGGGTGACCTCCACGGCTGGGACACCCGTGTCAGCTGCAGTCTCGCAGTTGTGGAGGTGCATGGGGCAATCCCAGGCTTGAGGGTACACATGCCCACCCCACCCCCAAACTGGGAGCTCCAATCAGCTGAT